TCAGTTTAAAGAAGTAGGTCAAACTTCTCAGAACACATCGATGGTGTAGATGAGTCGGTGCAATAGTTAATAATCTGTTTTAGTTCAGTTGATGGATAAAAATATTTGTTTTCTCCTGATGACACTGACGACGCAGTCGATGAAATCAGACTTAAACACGTGTGTTGAAAAAGAGGCGTGTCCTCCAGAGGCGTGTGTCTGCACTGGATATTTTTATCTGTTAAACAACCAGAACAGAATCACAGCGACATGCCGAGCTTCATTTTTCATCCCACTAATTACACTGACCTAATAAGAGCTCGTTAACGTCATTCATTCTGTACGAACCTCAGATAATCAGTCTGAGGGACGACAGGAAGGAAGACGCTCTACGTTCACCTGATGTGACCGAGGAACACTTTATTACTTTATCAGCTGAACCTGGGAGTTTTGTTTTTACTTATTTACTGTGGAGCTCAAACCACAAATCAAGTAATGAAACAACAAAAATAAAAATAAAACTATTCTGATGATTAATTGTTTCTGGAAAAATAAAATTTGGAAAATATCCGGTTCTCTTCTTTGATCAAAAAACAATCGACCAGAAAATATTCTCCAGATGAATTAACTGACAACACATTTATCATTTTCAGTGTGGATATATTTTCTAAATCAGGGAACAGGGTTTGCACTTTAAATCTGATTTTAAACTGAAGCTACTCCTTACAGGTATTTTCCCATTCGCTTGAAAAAATAAAAAGCATAATTAAGCACTGGACTAAAGTGAAATAAAGCTTCAGTTGAAAAGAGAAGGGATCTAAAGACTTCCCTGCTTGAGTCTTGTTCTTTTCCATATTAGGGAGAGACTTTGAACATTTTATCTCAACAAACCCGACACGAGCAGCTTGGAGTTCTCCTCTTGTTTATCCACAACATGGCACAAAGAAAGCTCGGATGTATACTGCGTTACCTTAGAGATGGGTTTAAAATCTCCCTGTGGGTTAAAAATAGGAACTTTACTCATTGAAACTTGAGCTATGGGTGTCAGACCGCTTCATGTGACGTCTGCCTCCACCACTGCATCACCCTCTGTCTGTTTTACTTCCCCTTTCTCTCCTCGCGGGACTCGGGTTGACTAATATTAAAAATTCGGTATGTGTTGCTCAGTACGCGGCGTCTTTTGATCGATATCTGCATCTACTCCCATGACTCTTCAGTGGACACAGGTTTTTAAATCGGCTGCAGCTCAAGGACTCACTTGCCTTTTTAGCGTATTTACCTAAACTCACCAATTTCAGTGATCGAGATGTCATTATTAAATTTTTATGACAAAGAAATGATATCGGGGCTTAATAATTTACAGTGTGACCATAAACTTTACTATAAAATGAAAAGAAAACACAAATACAATCAAAGATATACAACGATATCTTGTTTTTTTCTTCTCCAATAGATAAATGGGTCGGGCTCTAATGACCAACAAAGTTTTCTAACTTACATCAAACACTCCATGTGTCAAAAACACTGAGGAGAATCTTTCCAGTGAAGGAAATGGGAGTTTAATGATAAGTGTATTTCCTGCTGTGCTCTGATAACAGTGTCCTGGCCCAGACGCTTCAGTCCTTGAATAAAACATGTGAGCATCAGTCCACCACTGAATCTTTTAATCACACTGAGTCTGCAGCTGCACCTCAACAAGTTCTGCCACGTTGACACCGCAGCGATTATTGTATTCTGTTAAAACATCGTTCCGACAGACTGATTATATTTATAATAAAAAGTCTGAGGGCTTCATCTACCTGGTGCTACGCCCTAAACCGCACGGTGCAGACGACGGGCGGGCGGGGCGGACTGAGCCGAGGTAAATCCACCATTTGATGCGTTCAAAGCAGATTTGATTAGGAAGAGGGCTCGGCTGTTTACTGTTCGGCAAGAACAGCCCCGCCCTTATCAGACAAACTCAAAGAGAGCAGAGGACAGCTCGTTTCAGAGACTCTGGACAGTGAGTGTGAAGACAAACACGTCCCACAAACAATAAAATAAAACAGATTTCCATGGAACTTGGTGGACGGACGTGATAAGGCTCAGGGTTCTGAGAGACACTGTCTTTGACTTGCTTGTGAGATGAGGAGTGTTTCAACACGGATGAAAAGCGATGGCATGTGTTCAACTCACTCCAGTTTACATACAACAAAACAATTTGTCGTTGAGTTGGATGAAATTCTCGCCACTCCTCCGTCTGTCTGGGCGGAGCATTCAAAGAACAAGTCCTGCCGGTGACACTGATGAGCCAGTTCCTCCACACAGGCTAACGTTTGGTAGCTCGCAGCAAAACTGGAGGTTAGATCCGACACGAGGAGCCAAACAAGTCCAGCACGGACACGAGCGCGCTGCTCCGGGACTCATTCAGTCTTTCTTCTACTTCCTCTACTTGCATCCCTCGATCGAAGACGACTCTTTACAACACCACATTCGACCCTTTCTCCAAATTATGGGGGATCTTGTTCCCCAGGTTTTAAATGATCAACAAGTCAAACAGTCAGCAGACATGGTCGGCCCAACAGTTTGCCTCAGGAGGGAGAGCATGTGTTTGCGGGAATAGTTATGCACACAAAGGCTCGTCTGTGAAAAGACAGGGTGTCGTGTCTTTGGGCGAAACAGGTGTGTCCAGTCAACTGCTCCGAGCCGACGGCTCCACCTGTTCCTGTGTGTTCTGTCAAACTCTGGAAGAAAAACCAAAGACGTCCACAAAGAGGGTCGACACACTGTGAGACACAGAGCTGCAGTGTTTACTGCGCTGCCGTCTGTTGCCATCTGACGCTCGGTGCGGAGCCGAGAGAAACCCTTCAGTGTGTATTAATAAACCTCACTTCCCGTTACAGTGAGTCCACAGTCAAACCATTCCAGAGGCCTTGAAAAAAAAAAAAACCCTCTGAGTCACCAGCCCCGTCGTTCCAACCAAGACTCCCTGAGATCCATGACAACCAAACACCAAACTCGCCGACTAAAGTCTAACAGATAAAGCCGGCCCAGGCCGGACTCTGATTTTTCTTTCCACTACATGTGCGTCATAAAAATCAACTTCCTAGGAAACTACTGCAGGAGCTTTCCTCCTCCTTCTGCTCCTTCTGCTGCAGAAGCACAGTGACATGTTGGATTTTACAGAGAATGGTGATAGATAAGCGATAAAACGTTTCTCTCGACACTTGCACTGGCCTTTATCTGGAGAGAACACAGAGTCAACATCCTCGCCCACCTACAGCGTGTGCACATCTAACAAACGGCGGATTGACGACCCGCGGATAGTTTCACCACTGACGCCATAACGAAGGTCAACAGCTCAATAAGCAGCTGCAGGATCCAGACGAGCCACGGTAATGACACATGTCCTGCAGAGTTTCAAATCTTACATTTGTATTCACATGTGCAGCAGGTATGAGCCCCTCCCACTGAGTTATGTTCCTTCACACATGTTTAACAGTCCTGAATCAACAATGTCAACTCGGACAAAAGAACACAACAGCACTAAGCCCTTCATGTGTGCTCTCAGCGAACACACACACTCTGTTTCCACAATGATAATATGCCGTGTTGAAACCCCGAGTGTTGAATGTGTCTTTACTCTGTTGGGAGAATCTGCTAAAAAAGAAAAATCTGCCCGTCGGTAGAAGCAGCAGAGGAGAAAACAACTTCTCTCACCCGAGGTTAACTTTGTCGGGACGGTCATAAATTCCTCAGCAGCTACAACAAGCTGACGTTCACGTGTGTATTTGAATTTACAGCCGAGGATAAAACACAGATTTTTTTTTTTTTTTTTGCTTCCTTGGAAATGACTGCAGTTCACTGGAGGATAATAAAAAAAAAATGATGTGTATAATTCAACAAGTGCAGGTAAAAGATTAAATACATATTGTTTGAATATAATTACACGTTATTATTAAGTCTGTCATTCATTAACTGCCGCCCCCTCACACACACACACACACACACACACCTTCAATTCAATTCCACTTTACTCACTGGTCTTTACTTAACACACTGGAGTCACACAGGACGTAACGACTAGTTTAAGATTCTTTTATTTATTTCTTTTGTTTGCTCCATTTCTAATTAATACAAAATAAAGCATTAAAAATAATAATTGCTGTGTCATGTTTCTCTCTCCAGATCCAGACACAAGGAAAGTTTCCAACTTTCTTTTTCCAACCCTCTGGTAAAATGTCCAGAAAATGTCAGAGTGACAAATGTCCTGTTGCTGTGGACAACGTCTCCCCGGAACACTCTCTCACTGTGTTCTTCGTAAAAAAAGCAAACTTCAGGAATTGTCCAGAGAATCGAGTCCTACGTTAAAAACTGCAATATTTATATTTGAACAGTTTAATCTTTGATCTAAACCTGTGTCTTCTGTGTGAAACCCTCTCACTGAGCTTTAAGCAGCACAAACTGTGCTGGAGGACATTCCGTCACTAAGCAGTCATTTGTGTATTTAAGGTGTATAAAAGGTGGAGTCCATTTATCTGGACGTGTGTTATTTCTAACGCCCCCGGAGGCCTGAAGTGATGAAACTGTACTCGTCAAATAATGAGTCACAGGAACCAAAACCAGCAGGAATGTCACCTCCAGGACTAACGTCCGACTCCTCACTGCATTCCTGCTGGAGCATTAGAGCGTGTGAGTGCTGCTGAACGAGCACAGGTGTGAACAGGTGACGCAACCGCACAAAAGGTCAAAACTGCAAAACGTGGAGATGCTGTTTGCTCTGGAACCTTGTGAGTCAGGGACGCTGGACGTCGGTGAGAGCTGGGGGGGGGGGGGGGCAGCAACTCTACATCAATGTTTTGTTGAACTCATCTGAATCGACAACAGTTTTGAGAACATCTTAAAATAGAGAGCAAACTGAAATGACATTTCTGTTATTTGTAATCCAACACTGCTTGATGTGTAACGTGCTGTGTGTGTGTGTGGCTGAATCCATTTTGTGACATCACTCTCCCCTTCCGGCCCCCTCATGCTCCTCCTACCTGGCTTTCAGCTCCTTGTGCTCCTCCCTGATCTTGCCGAGCTCCAGCTGCAGGCGCGCTCGCTCCTTGGCCACCTGGTCCAGGGTCTTGCGGGCGTCGGCCAGCTCCGTCTCATAGGCGGCCTTCATGCCCGACAGATCACGGGTGACGGAGGACTCGGACTCGGTGATGCGCATACGCAGCCCGGCATTTTCAGACTCCAGCGAGCGCACCTTGTCGATGTACACCGCCAGACGGTCGTTGAGGTTGCACAGGTCCTCCTTCTCCTGCAGCCTGGTGATGCGGGCAGGCGAGACGGTGACGGTGGCACCGCGGCTGGTGCGTTTCTGGCTCGGGGTTTCCATGGCAATAATGGCTCAGCAAGAGGTGCAGAGGGGATGAGTCACTGGCTGTGGAAGAGAAGAGCGAGGGATCAGAGTTGATGAAAACTATCAGTGCAGGTCTTCCCTGGTTTGTCTGGTCACATGTTACACTTTAATGGAGTTTCTATCCGGGCTGACACCTTCACTCACCGGTCTGATCATAGTTGTGATATCATCCAAGATCAAATGAGTTAGCACTTCTAGAAAACTTGATATCACCTTCACCACCTCTGGCTCCACTGAGTCATTGTTCGGCCGCTTCACGCAGCTCGCTCCTGAGCAAACGTGCTTCCTTACAAAACCCCGACTCCCACCTCCAGCTCACTCACAACACCACAGTGAAATACTTTCAGAATTACTGGGAGAACATGAAGCCACGACCGGAGACAGACAATAAATAAACAACATCCGTCTTCCTCTGTTTTTTCAAAAAGACCTTTTGGGAAAATGGAGGCAAACCACAGAAAAAGAAGTTGCTGCACCAGTTACAATTCCAAAGTGTTGACTCATGATTTACATGCTGCAGGATGTCCTGATAAGGACATGGATTCCCTGTGTGGCTGTTCAGATGAGTGCAAACACTGAAATGAATACAAGAGTGTTTTATTTTTCATTTTCATATCGTGTGTATTTGTTTTTATAGTTGTTATAATTAAAAGCACTGGATGAAAATAATATTGAAATGCCTCCAACATTGTAAATGTAATTAAAAGTAATTTTCTCCACCAGAGCTCCAACATACAATCATAGAAGAATTCAACGATATTAATAAATGAACGAGTGCTGTTATTATCCACTGTGACGGAGAAGGTGCGACCGAAGAGCTTTTTTTAAAAAAAATTTATTTCTCTGCAGCTCCTCCACTCACAACCTTCCGGCCATTTCCCAGAGAACTGCAGGAAAGCTTTCTCCAGTTTGGTTCACGAGTGGGTGGAGGCACCAAACTTTGCCATCCATCGCCTCCCCGCCCATTAGCAAAAGTGCACACAAGGACATGCACGCCCCATGTGGGTGGGATGGCGTGCATGCAAATGACGTGCACACACCCACAGGAGCGAACCCGTGTACGCACAAGTACTCTCTGGACTTACTTTGAATAAATGAAGCATCCATTTACGCTCCTGAAATGTACCCAAGCATTAACAGGTGCTGTCTGATGTCCCACTCTCCAACAGCTTTAACAAAAGCTGAAACTTTAAAAAAAAAAAAAGGCACAAACTTATTCCACAGCGTTCCTCGCCAGAACGAAAAAACGACTCGGATCAAGTCAAACAAGTACAACACCACGAGCACACACTGGAGCTGTGTTAGTCAGTGACCAACACAACGTCTCAGAGGGAGACAGGAATCTGAGGAAACTCTCTGAACCTTACCTCTGCTGTTTGAGAACCTCTCCACCGCAGCCACTGAGAACGAGTCTGGAAGTTTATCTGCCGTTATGAGAGTGTGTGTGAGAGTGTGAGAGTGTGTGTGAGAGTGTGAGTGTGTGTGTGAGAGTGTGTGAGAGTGTGTGTGTCGTACCCCAGAGGACTTGTGGAGAAGAGGATCCGTTGAATAATGCAGTCTTGCTCTCTGCTGGTGGGTGTGTGCTCCTTTGGCTCGTGCCCTGAACTGCTTTGCTGTCGCTCACTGCACATGTACCTACTGCTGGAAAGGGAGAGAGGGGAGGGAGAGAGGGGAGGGAGCACGAGAGAGGGGAGGGTGGGGCAACGAGGAGGAGTCAGGCTAGACAGACTGTATGTGTGTGTGTGTGTGTGTGTGTGTGTGTGTAAACAGCAGCTGCTCAGCTTTATCTCTCCCTGCTCCCTCCATATCTTTTCCTGTCTCATTTCACTCACAGCGCCTTTTCCCAGACACACTGACCTCAGCGACTCAGTGCAAGCGCTCCGTCAATGAAACGCAGGACACGGCGACGATACTGAGCAGCTCCCGGGAGGATGTGACTGAGCGTCTCTTCTCACCCTGCTGCGGTTTAGACTGCATGCTTTACCTTAGCCCCCATTTCTTGTGAAATACAGATGTGACTGGACAGCAGATACACGTCAGAGGAATTTTTAGGTTTCAGTTTTGTACTGAAAAAAGAAAAATCCTCACTGCTGTGGAAGGGATCAGAGATCCTCTCAGACACACAACATTACCAAGAAATCAAAGAAATCCAAAGCACATACACATCCTTCATCTTCTCATCTCTTCTTCTGCTGTCATCCATGGCAGGAGAATAAACTGCCCGCGAGCTCGTGCGTTAAATCCAAAGTGGAAAAAGTCCACAAATGTTTGAGATTATATTCCCAGTGAGTGATAGAATAGTTCCCACAAGTCCTCCTGGAGGTCCAAAGGTCCGACACTCAAACCCAAGAGGATTCTGGTCTTATATTTATTTCCTCGGGGTGGAGTTAATGGAATCACAGGTCCAATCAAGACGTGTGTGTCCGTGTGTGTGTGTGTGTGCATCTCCTCACCATGGAAATGCAAGTGAGTCCATCATGTGTGTGAGTGTGTGTTACTGTGTATGCGCATGTGGTTAAACAAGGGGGCAAGACAGCGTCTCTGTTTTTGGGCATGAGGCAGGCTCAGTGGCTAAAGGGAGTATCCTGGCTGCACCGTGGCCTTCCAGTGGAAATGAGCCGTCAGTCTCCGAAGCAGCGTTTCTGAGTCACTCGTCCCTTTGCTAACAACTCTTTTTTTTTTTCTTCTCCTCTACCGCTTCTCTCTATTTCAGTCTATTCAGGCCCTGTGGTGTTTCCATGGAAGTCACACTGAGACAAGAATTCGTGGCCGGCGGGACAGACATGGTTCCTCCATGAGCTTTTCTACGAATCTTTGGTTTTCTCACGTTGTCTGTGCACGAAACAAAACAATGATGACGTCTCCGCACAGACGCCATCACGTCACAACGAGATGCAGGTTCGAGCTTAAAGCAGAAAAGGTTCTAATAGAACAGACCTGCAGGGGATTTATCTCATTGTCTCATGTTGTTTTGTAGTTAATCAGTTTCTCCTATTAGACTGTTCACAAACAACAACAGAGAGAAAACAGGAAACTATTTTCTATGGCTGCAGTTTTTTCATCTTCACTGATAATGATGTTTAAAATAGTCGATTACGTTTCTGCTGCACAACTTATCGAACCAGCTCTCGATGTTTCATTTGCACATTAATGCGTCTGCTCCTGTTCTGTCTCTGCTTCTATCAACTGTCTGTAAGATCAGTAAAGCAATAGACTCCCACTCTTTCTCTCCCTCTTTCTGCCCTTGTGGCATTCCAGGAAAAAGGGCGTGGTGGTGGTGGTGGTTGTGCAATCTAAAGGTTTTCTTTCTCCATCATCAGCTCCTGCTCTCCTGAGAGAGAGAAGCAAATATCTTATCGAGATTTTAAAGAGTTCTTCTTAAATCATAATAATTATCACGATAAATGTGAAATATCTATTTTGTTGAAGTTTAAAGTTGCTCCCGAGTTTAGGTTGTAGTTTTAAACTCTTCACAAACACTGCAGCTCATGGAAAACTGTAATTCAACTTAATCTGCTTTTCCCATATTGACACACGCCCTCCCACGTCCAGACTCATTTCCAGATAACACAGCGATAACAACAGGTTTGAAGATTCAATAATTCACAGGAGCATTAATCTTTCATATGAAAAACTCACAGTCAGTTACTCAGGAACCCGTTAACCGTCCTTCAATGTATTTCCAGATTTGCTTTGTATCTCAACATCTGCTCCGCCTCTAAAAACAGTCGGCGTTATCTCTGCGGTTCAAGATACGATTGTTCACATATCTGCATTAATCATTCATCAAAGACTGGTGTCGAGTCTCTATCCAGTGGAAAGACAAAGACACGAGGGGTTTGGTTCTTCAGAGTAAAGCTCAGTGTCAGAGGCTGTGCTGTGATAAACTATACCTGCTTCTCAACACACCTCCAGAACAATCCAGAACCACGGTGGGTTTAAACTTGTTTCCCTCTGGATGCTGCAGCAGAACAGCTTCTGGAACCACCTTGTTATCAGCTCTGTGTCAGTGCAGCAAAGACACAGAGAGACGCTCAGTGTTGTAATGATCTGGAACACACATCACACAACAGTGTCCAGAGAAAACACACAGTGAAGCTCTCGGGTCAGAAAGTCCTCGATGATCAGACAAGTCGCAGGAGATGTTCAGACCGGTTCAACCCAGATTTACTGAACTTCCTGTGTTTTTAATCTGGTTTTATTCTCTGTAGATATGTATTTGACATTTCTTGTGTGATAAGATGCAGTTTTCATTCTATATTATACACATGACTGAGTTTTCCTCAATAAAGAAAGAAGAGTTTCCTCATAAATGTTGCTGCAGCTCTGGCGCCCCCTGTCTTTTACACACACACACACACACACACACACACACACACACACACACACACACACACACACACTATTGAGTCATTCACAAGGAGGCTGCAGGAGAAGCCGCAAAGCGCCCTCTACTGGCTGACACCCTGAATGAAAACATATCTGTGAACATGGGTCACAGAGTTCAAGAGCTGCTGCTTAGACTCCCTGCCTGTCTGTCTGCATGTCTGTCTGTCTGTCTGCCTGCCTGCCTGTCTGTCCGTCTGTCTGTCTGTCTGTCTGCCTGTCTGTCTGTCTGCCTGTCTGTCTGTGTGTCTGTGTGTCTGTCTGTCTGTCTGTCTCAGTAAGATCAGGAACTCTTCACCACATTAAATCACCATCTTACCTCGTGTCTCCTGAGAAGTTGCCTCTCCTCCAACATGTCTCCTCTGATGGTCTCAGACCTCGACCCTCCACTTTGTCTCCATTTTCACTGGTTCAGTTTTTCTTGGTATAAAACAGCGACACGACCTCCACAGAGTGACGTGTGCAGCAGCAGCAGCTCCACCTGAGGATCGATGCCCCTGATTAGGCTGCTTCTCTCTGCCAATTACAGCTGTGCAGCCTGCGGGCGCCACCTGGCGGCCGCAATCAACCGGCCAGCCTCCTCCTGTGGTTCTTCTCAGTGAAGGCAGGCGACGTTTGGAGAAAATATGGAAACATTTAACTGGAGCAAATAATCTGAGGACTCTTAAAGAGATTCACCTCGCATCCTAACGAGAGGAGGAATTTAACTAAGTACTTATACTCGAGCGTTTACTTGAATATCCTGGATCAAACTTGAACGGGTCCTTTCACTTGCTTCAACCTTCAAGTTTCATGGAAATCTATTCAGTTGTTTTTTTTAATAATCAAGGGATCAATTAAAACACATCACACTGTGTTTATCAGGTGCACTGGGTTTACGACAAAGTTCTGAATACAACTTTTTCCACAATAGGAAAATGCACCTAAAGCTCCAGCATCCTGTTATTGTTACTGCCATACTTCTACATGAAGTAATACTTCCAGTGAAGTATTTTTAGATTGTGGTATTTCGACTTTTACTTGAGTGAAGGATCTTATTACTTCCTCCACAGCTGGATTTTCTACTTTCATCTTCTTGCCTCGGGAGAGTGTTGTTATTTCACGCCACAGTTCAGATACCTGTTATCTCCACTGTTATCGATACACGTGTCTGTCGGTAGCATGAGATGAATGGAATAACTCCGGTATTCGTTTCACTGGGGAGTCTCCCCGGAGAGTCCTCAGGGGCCCACGACTCCACGAACCCCCCCCCCCCACTTTGTCAGCGATTGATACACTGACCTGAGCTGTGTTTCAAATTAATTGATAATTTAATTAAACAGGCGGCCAGGGAGCGTCATACAACTACAGATGGCCCAGAAGAATGGTTTTAATTCCCCGTGATCCCAAACTCATGCTATATACAAAGAAAAGCACAAATTAAAAACAACTGAAGTGAAAACGTGGGAAACGTTTCATCGTGTCACAGCTGAACATGAATTTTACACGACTCACGTTACTCAGCTGTAAATGCTTCGTTTGCATTCATGCTGTCGGCCATCACACCTGAGAATACGACCCTGCAGAGCTTTGTTTGGCATCTGCGACTCTGAAATGACCGAAGAACCAGACGGACAAAGACGTTTAGACGCAAATGTGTAGCGTTCAGAATTTCCCATGAGGATCAAACCCACGAAAATGATCCTCAGAACCAGAATTTAGCTTTCAGGACACGTTCGTCAACAAAAATGGAGCCAGACTGTAAACATGTCATATTGTTTCTACAGATCTCGGTGGATGAGAGAAGTACTCGACACTACATGATTCAAAACTTCACTTTTAATGGAAGTACAAAAAAGTGCTTGTGAAATTTCCCATTTAAAATAAATCAGATTCCATCTGGACCATTTTATTTTCCAGTGATGACCCACCGACTACTCTTCTTCAGGCAGTTGTATTAAAAACTAAAGACACTGGTGTCCAGATTTCAGATTCCATCTGAAAAGCCTGAACTCTGGTGTTTCCCACTCACATGTTCACCTGATTACAGAGACGAGCTGCACATTAAAACAAGTTGTGACTCACCTACTCGACAAGAACAAAACAGAATGTCAGACGTTTTCATCAATAATCATTTGAAGAAGATGTTTCAGGCAAGAGGTTAAAGCAGATTTGAAATATTTAAGTAAAAGTAGAAACAACACAGTGTAAAGTGATTGAATCCTATTCAAAGTGTTATTTACAGTAACTGAATAACCAAAATTCAAGCGAGTCATGAAGCAGAAAGCTCCTTCACAGTGTTATATTCATTTATATAACATATAGTGGTATTGCCTTTAACGTTCCAGCTTCATCAATTTGTCATTAAGCCATAAACATCTTGTACAGGTACATCTAGAGGTGTCAAATTAACGAAGCGGAATAAATGTTCTATTCCTCTGACATTCAGTGGAGGAGACGTATTTAAAAGCATTGTAGAAGAAGTCAAGTAAGTAAAGATGTGGAAAAACTGTACTTACAGTATAAACAAGTACAGTACTTGCACTGATGTAATTAATTACTCCCAACACAGATGAATCATGCCTGGAAATTACACACTGATGGTTTTAATCATTTTTTATTGTTGAAATAAAAAATGCTTCATTTTGCGAATTCAGTGATTAACTGTCTAAATTAAAACGTACAACCGTGTATTTCTGATCCTTGGTGCAGGTTGCTTTTGTCTTTCATTGTGTACTGTAAAAATCAATATGTGAAGCAACTGACATTGTCTCCGATACGAAATGAGGAAAGAGGAAAAAAAAAAAAAAAAAAAAAACCCCACCAAGGATTCTGTGTGACGCGTGCGTGTGAGATCACCACAATACGGGAAGCAAGTGGTGAGGTGAGCCTTACTCATCACTAGGCGTGTCACTCGCTGTACAGCATCAATGTGATTAGAGACAGACAGGCGGGGGAGGGGGGTGGAAAGAGGGAACGTGAGAGAGTGAGAGACAGAGAGAGAGAGAGAAAGAGAGAGAGAGAGAGAGAAAGAGAGAGAGATGACCTAATACCCGTAAAAAGCAATGAAGTCATACTACCTGACTCATATTCCCAGCTGACAGCAGCAGCTCTCCCAATCACAACATCCCAGTGCCCGAGTGTGTGTGTGTGTGTGTGTGTGTGTGTGTGTCAGAGGGTGTGAGTGCTTCACAGCAGGTGAGGAAAGACTGCACCCCCCCCTCCCCCCATCATCATCATTCCACAAACTGTCATGCATCGAGATCAAAGATGAAAAATCATCAGTTTTTTACTTATCAATCAAATCTCTTCTGATCACAGGATTTCAGTTTGAACGTGTGATGAGCATTTTTATAGAATAATGAATGATCGTATGGTGAGGTTGTGTTTTCTCGCCGATCGAATCCCTGATCATCTTTAAAGGTGAAGGAGCATAACCACTGGAAATGACCTGAACCCCCACATAACGTCCAAATGAGACTCACGTGAATTTAGCTTTGTGAGAAGCCACCAGCAGTAACTCGAGTCTCTCCAGGGTCCTCGTGTCAAGTCCGCTCCAAGATCATTCAAAGAAAGGATCTGTTCAGTTTCAGCTTTTATTTATAAAAATAAAATCTTTTTTTGTTGACTTACCCTGAAGATGGAACGTTTAGGAATCATGATCCTGATTCCTGTGTGATGGATAAACCTGCTGATAATAAAACCCAGTTAATCACAGATGAAGTTAAACGAACATTTACTTTCAGAATGATGAGGATCTTACTTTATACGCGTCCATCGCTGCTGAATCTGCTCTTCCTTGCAATAATAATTCAACAGTGACAAAAATATCGTAATACTAAATTACAACATAAGTAAAAAAAAAAAAAAACCTCGACACAAAGTGGCCTCTGCGTGTTTTGGTTCGTTTGCTCAGCTGATCGACTTCAGGGCTCTCGTCAGCTTCTGAGCACGAGATGTGGTATCATTTGCATGAGGTCTTACATCATCCCTGAGAGCCCGTTCACTATGGCATCAGCACGTGGTGCTTAGCCAACACGTCCCTTTGTGCTCGCAGGAGCCTCATTCAGGGGACGGCGGGGCACCAGAAAAAGTCTTGAAAGGGACATCTGGCCGTGGACGTCCTTTAGGGATTCTCCGACTTGTCTTTACAGCCTATTAGGCCTGTCCTCTTTGAGAAACAGACACAGTCCATATAGGGGAGAGCAATATTTGCATGGACTCTTGGACAAAGGGGTGTGTGTGTGTTTGTGTGTGGGTGTGTGTGTTTGTGTGTGGGTGTGTGTGTCTCAGCAGAGCACTTACACACAACAGCATCTCCCCAAAGATGCCAGTCAGCCTTTCTTTCACCAGGGGAGAAAAAGAGAGAAACAGCACCAGTGTGACGAACAGATGGTCAAGATCATTGAGTTTTTTTATGTGCAAGTAACATGACCTCAGCACTCTGAGCGGCACAAGTATCCTGTAGCTAACACACACACACACACACACACACACACACACACACACACACACAAGTGTACAAATGACCGTCGTAGCCTGCAGCTATTGGCAGCGAGGTCTGAATGAAAGGCAGAGCTGCTGTGGTCCATTCAGGTCCAGAGAAGGTTTAGTTCAGGGTCACAAAGGTCATGTGGCACAGCGGCATCACCACCAATCAGGCCTCCAACCAGGCGTCACCAAAATTCACAAATCCAGGCAGAGAGGGGTGTGAGGGTGGGGAGGGGAGGGGAGGGAGGGGGGAAACTCTACCCCCGGATCTATGCTTTGTATTGATTGGAGCTCTGGACTCCCAGCGGACCCGTTCTAATGGAGCCAGACGACCTCTTGGACACACACCCGCCGCACCACAGGGAGTCTGGTCCTTGCGTGGTTCTCGTCCACCGTCCCGACCGCGGCCTCGCCCAATCCTCTGGCCTCTCTGCTGGGTGGGGACGGGATTGAGGGCAGACCCCCTGGGCCCATCCCTCCGGTCCCTCGCACATCACGCCATTCTGCTCCGCTCCTGCTGCTGTGGTTTGACTTTATTTCATCCACGTTGTTTGGAGGAGTGGGGGGATGTTTTAATCCTGGACTCAAACCAGGAGTCTCCCTGTGAGCTGTCATCGGCAACACGCCCTTGGAGAATGAACCCCTTCCTGATTGGCACCCAGAGAGCGCGTCTAGACTGTGATTACAAATGCAAATACACCTGCTCCGTCTTCCTGAGACTATTTTATCACAACAATTATATTGTTTCTATTTTCAAACCTGGTGTTTGGGAAATTTGTGATTATATTGACGCTCCTTATTTTTATGTGTTATTAAAAAGCAGGGGGTGTTCTCACAGGAAATGCTAAAATATTCAAACTGGATCTGCTCAGTCTGTCATCGAACCACAAATGGAAGACGGGAGGAAAACACCACACATGACGGGGGGGAAATACTTTTTTTTTGTGTGGACGGGGGTTAAAAGCACTATCCAACACCTCCCCCCCCCCTCCAGGAACACAAACACACAGGCCGACTGATTTCACCTGAATTTAATTTAACAGCAATTTATGTAGAAAAGCAGAAAAAGTTCAGTGTTTCCCTGAACCACGTGTGTGTGTGTGTTGTAAATGTTTTCTCAGCTAAACATCCCCAGAGTTTGCCTTGTCATTCAGGTGGCCTTATGCAACACAGGGCCACTCAGTGTACATCCCAGCATGCATATAGGCAGATGGTGACAGCAGGACGAGTTAAACTGACACTCTGAGGAAGCTGAAAACATCCGAGCTGGATAATTATACACCAGCTCCAAAGCTTTATTTATGACGGTGATCACTTACAACTCAGTCGTAAGGCTAATATAATTATGGCAAATTAGATTTTAGTTTTTTAATTTGTTGATGTCAGATGTTGGGGTAGATTTAAGTTGGAGGCACTTTGTTGTTTGAACCCTACAAATGGAGACATGTGGGTGGGGGGGGACCTGGTGTAGAGACGGAGTGGGTTTCTGTGGCTTCATTTAATGATATTTCTACAGATGCAGTTGGAGTCTCTTTGTGTTTGTAGCACGACCATGCCGTCAGGCGTGGCTTCTGTCGAGGACATCTTGGGGAGTCTGTGCGGGAATCGAACGGCGCGGTTCTTTGTTCACCGGAGCTGCTGCAAAATCTTTCTCTTTTTTCTCCTTCTCCTTTTTTTTATTTTTTTTATTTTTTGAAAACGGGGGAAATGTGCGAGGGCTTTTCTGATGTTCCCCCCGCTGCATAGGGTCTGCAACGACTGTCTGACAACTCCCTTTCTCCTCCTCGTATACAGCCCCCCCCCCCACCCTCACCCCCAGACGCCCTCTTTCCCTCCTATACATAACATCCTCATGCGCAACGGCGCCAGAAACAACAACGCGGTGACCTGCCGCAAAGCACGGCTCCATGGAGGTGGGCGGACCCCCCTCCTCTGTAAAATAGAAAATGTCACTAACTCCTTCTGCTCCTACATTTTCATTTCATGTCAGATGATCCATGATCCCCCCCCCCTCCCTTGTTTAAGACGCGGGAGCCGCTTTGTGTCCTAATGCAGCAGCGCTTCATGACCATGTGCGCACTGTACTTCCACCTTTTCATCCGTGCGAGTGTTGACATCCCGCACGGCTCCGCTTACATAAGTTACCCACATGTGCTTCTCGGGGGCCGCAGCACCACCGCAGCTCCGAGGGGAAGATTAAAAAATACATTAAAATAAAATAAAAATAAAAAAAACCACCGGTGCGGGAGCCGAGCGATGAGGTGTTTCTGCTTCCGCTCGGGAGGCGGCTCGACGCGCGGTGCCACGGGCTCGGGGAACCTGAGACGGAATGGTACAACGGGGGAGGGCGGCTCGTTTTGTCTCCGCGAGGAGGGGAGCGGAGTGAACCAGACTGGGTGGAGCGAACTCATCGCCCAGCCCCATCTATCGTGCAGACGGCCTTGTGTCCCGTTCGCCCGGAGCTCGGAGAGACGGAGAGAGTCTGGCGGACGGAGAGAGAGGGGGCCGGTCTATGGGAGGGACTAGCGCAAAGGGGGGAATAGCAAGGAGGAGGGGGCGGCACGGGTGCTGTTTCTCCAGTCTCTTTCCCCTGTCTTTGTCTCACACACTCTTTTGTTAGCCATGCCTAGCCTGCTGGTTCTAGCAGGGATCATGGAGAAAAATGGGGGCTACGGCGGGGATCTGGCCGGCTCCGGCTTCGGCACCGAGGGTCTCCTTGTGCCGCCCGACGAGGAGGAAGACGACTCCCGTGCCCTCAGGGTCGCGCTGGGCCAGTTGTCTCTGCTGGGGCTCGGGGAAGGCGAGGACGGCGGCGGAGCCCCGACCACGGGAGTACAGGACCGGAGCAACAATAACAACAACCACCACAACCACACGAACAGCGTCGGGGGTGGCGGGGACACGGCGATCCTGCAAGGGAAGAGCAAGTTGTGCGCCCTGTACGAGAGCTCCTCAAGTGAGACGAAGGGACGAGGCTGCAACATAACAGAATGCGTCCCAGTGCCCAGCTCCGAACATGTGGCCGAGATAGTGGGGAGACAAGGTAAAGCGCTGCCTTCCAAATTATTTCCCTCCAAACTTGTGCCTTTATCCCGCTTCTCTGTGCCGCATGATCCCGCCGTGTTTCCCGTGCGCTTTGTGTTTTTCTTGTCTTTCTGTTACCTGGTGTTATTTGACAAAGAAAAGGGAGTGGTGTGTGTGTGTGTGCTCGCGTGTTTTTTGTGCTCCCCCGAGGCATCAGCCTCCCACTTTTTCTGCTACAACCCCGCAAGTTCTCCTCCACTCATCGTCCCCCCCACCTCCCTCTCCCTCCCAACCTTCTCCCACCGAAACAAGTCTCTGCTTTTTTTTGATTTTTATTGTTTTTTTTTATTTTTTTGCTTTCGAGTGAATTTTGCAGGGGAAGCACGGGAGAGCCCCCCCGTCCCCTCCTGGGCGAATTATTCCACATCCACGCCATCGGCGCACAGACGCACACTGGAGCAGGCACTTGCTTCCTTTGTCGTCTGAGACGCGCCAGACTGTTCAAAAAAGGCAACGTGCTGCTGGCGAGGAGAGGAATGTCTTTCACTTTGCATCGATCGTTGAGACAATAACACAAAGGAGACGCTCGGACTCGCTGGTGGAAGATGTTTTGCCTCTTCCCAAATTTATTCAGCTCGCTGTTTATGTTGCGCACTGCCCCAGTGACACAATTGGACAATGGAGCGAGCGTGGTCCCCTCTTGTTTTTCCTCAATTGATGGAGTTGGAAAGTTCAATTCCACACACGTTGAGGAATCTTCCCCCTTGCACTGTGCAGCCCTCAGGTTTTTTATTTTAATTTTTTTTGTGTTTTTACCGAACAAAGAGCTGAAGTTGAATGACAGCAGCTGTCAAACAAAGGTGTGAAATTCGGGGGTGGGTGGGTGAGGGGAGGGGAGGGGCTGCATGTAGACCGTGTTGCTGCCTGGCTCACGGGATGGTCTTCAAGGGGTGACTCAGCGAGAAGTTGCACCAGGAGGTGGGAATCCTTTTTTTTATAAATAAAAAAAATAATTAAAAAACAAAAACAAAAATATTCGGTTGTTGTGCTCGTTTGCAGCGAAGATGATTTTTCACCAAGTTCAATATGAAGCAGCTGGAACCTGAGTTATTTATTTTTTTTTGTCTTCTTCCTTTCTTTGTGTTTATGTGGCTGCATCCTTTGTTACCAGATGTGATGGACCCATGGGTGAGAGGGGCAGAGAAACCCGGGGCTGGGGAGGGACGGGCAGTATAGCATCTGAAAAGCTGAATGGGAGTCACGCCTTGGAGCTCAACACAAGGGGCTCCTCATGAGCCCCACTTCACTGCACACTCTCAATACCACATGGTTGCCTGTCAGGAGAGGGGAGACATGGGGGCCTGGACGCAGAGGGAAGTACAAAGACTGCAGGGTGGGTGAGGTACCATTAGCGAATCCTGATTTATCTCTCAACAAAAACAAACAAGTCTCGAATAGTGTCACTGGGGCTTCGGAGGAGCTGAGCTGGCTTCTTTTACCAATACTCCGGTAGCGTGGATTCAGTTTGTGCCATTAATTTCCTCTTTGTCCCCCATCGTGGCTCCTGTTCTTCACTCTGAAGTTCTGAATTTTAATGGGGTAACTGAAGACAGCCGAAGCCGGAGGGTGGATCCGGCGAGAGGGCCCTTTTTTTTTTTGTTGCCTTGACCGAGAAGAAGTGCTGATTTGGGGGGGGGTTTGAGATGAGCTTCTTTTGATTCGAGCCCTTCGTTAGTTAGCACTACATTACACACCCCCTTCCTCTCAGTGCCCGCCTGGCGAATCTGGCAAACGGAGCATCCTGTCACGAGGAAGGGGTTGGGTATGATTGTTTCCTCCTGTCAGAGTCGAAAGCATTGATTCCTGAGGATGCTCTCGTGTCTTCCTCTGGAGCTCTTCAGGTCAAGGGTGGCTTTGTTTTCAATCACAGGCACCTCTCACGCCACAGGGTAACGCACGGAAATAAACTTGTGTATCCTCACTTCCTGGTTGTGAATATTTAACCTCTGTTTACAGATAGAGATATTAATTGGGATGCAACTCAAGTCGGAAAAATACGATTTTGGGAAATTTGCCCTGTGATCCCCTGTGGCATGAACAGGTCTATTAGCCCTAATAGCAGGTGATGGCCACAAAGGGCATTTTCAGATTTTGAGCATGAGCAGTAATAACCCTTCGGAGTATCACTATCTCTCTGTCTGTACCACTGGTCCCTGAGAAGAAAGTGTTCCTGAACAAAGTGGGCCCCATTTAGTAGCATTAGAGAGACATTTGTCATCAACTTAAGGCGTCTTTAAACCTTTTGAAAGCAGCCGGCTCTGATCTTCAGATCGGTAGTGCAGTGATGTGCTGTGTGATCCAAGGGACCCAGAGTCTGGTCAGATTAGTTCACTGAACAGACGTCCGATGATTCTCGCTCGTCCAATAGAGGGTCGCACGGGTCTCTTTGAGACACAGCGGAGGCGAGACGTCCACCTCGTCAACAGTTGTCTCAGTGAAGGATTTCTGACCCTGTGTGATGCTTGATGTCTTCAACGCAGGGTCCGACATTCACATAGTTTCTGTGTCTTTTCTCGTCGTGTTCTCCTCGAGCTCAGGCGTAGTCGGTAATCCTCCGAAGTAATCACTGATCTACTGTACATCCCTGCTCTGTCCCATTACAACATCAGGTAATTTGTCACCATTTGTCACATTAACCTTCAAGCCTTTGCTTAAAAAGCACTTAATAGAGTAAACCATTACACACTGATCAGAAAACAGAGCCGATGTGCAATAAATGGTTTGGAGATGAAGCACATGTGTATGTGGGTTGACTATTGTCTCGTGTAGGTTCAAGGAGAGGTCAGAAAGTGATTTCCAGCATTCTGCAAATATACTGCCTCCGTTGCAGCTTTCGCAAACCCTTCAGACCACTTATGTCTATGCCAAGCAATAATTCTGCACCAACCACCTGTCTCGTAATAAGTTGTGTCTGATTTAGAGCAAATAAATAAGTACACCCAGAAAGTACAGTAAAGCATAGGTGCTGGAAAAGTCATCAATCAAGGTAATTACTCTTTGCCTGTGAAAATCTGCAGTTAAATGGTTCGATCATAAACGTGACTGAATTCACACGGAACAAAAGGAGAGTTGGGGATTTCTGTAAACTCAGGTTGAAAACCAATGTTTGTGTTGTGTTCTCACTTGTGAGTCACAAGACTGAGCTGCTGTTTCATATTTACTGATTTCTAAATGTATCCTGGTTTCTGCAGGTTGCAAGATTAAAGCCCTGAGGGCCAAGACCAACACCTACATCAAAACCCCGGTTAGAGGAGAGGAGCCTGTGTTCCTAATCACTGGCCGGAAGGAGGATGTTGCACTGGCCCGCCGTGAAATCATCTCTGCTGCAGAGCACTTCTCCATGCTCCGGGCGTCCCGCAACAAGCTGGGGGTGTCCTTCAGCGGCTCCCCGCCCACACCTTTGCCAGGTCAGACCACCATTCAGGTGAGAGTGCCATACCGGGTTGTGGGGCTGGTAGTGGGGCCTAAAGGCTCCACCATCAAACGCATCCAGCAGCAAACCTGTACGTACATCGTCACTCCCAGTCGAGACCGCGACCCTGTCTTTGAAATCACAGGGTCACCGAGCAACGCCGAGCGCGCCCGCGAGGAGATTGAAGCACACATCGCCTTCCGAACAGGAGGCCTGCATGACCACAATAATGAGAATGACTGTATGGGGCCGAACGGTGGAAGCAGCCCGGCGGGCAGCAGCGGTGGTCTGGAGAGCCGACTACAGCAGGTGTGGGGGCTGCAGGGGGGCCAGCGCAAGCCTCTCACCAGCAGCTACCGCCAGAACTTCTCAGATGCCATGGTCGGAGGGGGAGGGGGAGGCGAGGGAGGGGGAATCTACAACAAGAGCAACTTCTCCAGCTCTGGAGAAAAGAATTGCTCTTATTTTGGATCGGAGGGGACCCAAAGCTGGGGCGACCCCGACTACCCCAAACAGGTGGCCTTCTATGCCCAGCAGCGCTCCAAGAGCTTCGGAGGCCTCCCGCTCCCCCTGACCAGACTCTCCCCTGGCTTACCCGATTCCTGTGGAGGTGGAGGCACCAACAACTCCTCAGTCACCAGCATTGTGCCCGTAGCCGGCTCACCTCACGCCCAGGCCCGCCGCGCCCACAGTGAGCCCACTTCAGCCGGCGAGGGTTTCCCAGGCCGTCTGCCAGTTCCGGACTCGCCACCGGCCACTGTGCGGGACTGCATGACCTGCTTTGAGAGCAAAGTGACGGCTGCCTTGGTGCCCTGTGGCCATAACCTCTTCTGCATGGAGTGCGCCATCCGAATCTGTGAGCTCAACCACCCGGAGTGTCCAGTGTGCCACACCCAGGTCACACAGGCCATCCGAATATTCTCTTAAGGAACCACATCAGTTTTTATCATTAGTTTTGTTAGTGTTTGTTCAATAATAATTTGCTGTTATTATGATTATTATTATAATACACATTTTTGTTTTTCAGAAAATTTAAAAACAATC